TTTTTTTCTGTGTGGTTTTTTTTTTTTTTATGGAGTGAGTTATGGATCTTGCTTGAGTTTTCTACAGATAGTTCTCCAATTTTACCAGCACCATTTGTTAAAAAGGCTGTCATTTCTCCACTTAACTGATTTCATCTCCTTGTAAAAAATCAGTTGACCATAGGTAGACAGGCTGATTTTTAGATTCTCAATTCTATTCCATTGATACATGTGTCTGTCATTGTACCAGTACCATGCTGTCTTGATCTCCATGGCAGTATAGTAGGATTTGAAATCCAGGAGTAAGTGGTAAAACAGTGGTCTATTTGCCGTACCAAAATAACTTGGCATGCTGTAATGCTAAACACTGTGTCATAGGTGTGTCAAACACCATAATGATTACCCATTGTGGACAGTGCTTGGAAGCATGAGTTGCATCGACTTCCTAAACCACATGCCTTTGGAAACTCTATGAACATAGAGAAATTATGATAGTTATAGAACAGGTTTCAGGTGTTTTGTTCATAGGGTCACTATGAGTCATACTTGAATTGACGGCACTTAACAACAACAGCAAGTGCACCTTTAGCATGAGGGGTATAAAAAAATGGGGACTGTGTATTAAGACTTAAATATACATGAAAGTACAATAATTGGGACCCTTTTTACTGTGGTGCCCTGTGCCCAAAGGCCTTGAAATCTGACTTCTTGGTAGTTTTCTCATTTATGCTAAACTTCTATCCTTTCTAGTTCTCCTTTTGGTGGCAATTGAAATTAGGCTCGAGATTCTGGGGCCAGGCTCTTCTGCCCAGGAAAGGCCCTGTCTTGAAGGTCGCTCTTCCAGTCTTCCTTCCCTTGCCTGAACACTTTGGACCCAACCTTTCCATTGGGCACAATTGACACAATGCTTAGATCCATGATCCTTTTGTTGTTAGGTGTTGTCAAGTCAAGAATACCTCGTAGTGACCCTAGGAACAACAGATCTGAACTCTGTTCTATCCTGTGCCATCTTCATCATACCTGACACACTTGAGCTCATTGGTACAGTTACTGTGTTTGCCAATCTACCTGGTTGACAGTCTTCCTCTCCTTCACTGTCCCTCCACCTTTCTAAGCATGATATTAGGGGCTTTAAAAAAAAAGTAATTTCTTTTAAAATCAGATGGAAAAAAATTAAATATAAACCAAACAACTTTGATTATTTTTCTGTTGGTTCCAGTCGTTGGGAAATTACATAATGTGAGAGAAGTAGAAGATCAGAGAAGAAAAGAAGATCCTCAACACGATAGATTTATATGGTGACTGTAGCAAAGGGCTCAAGTGTGTCTTGGATTGTGGGGATGGAGCACGATAGGGCAAGGGTTAGATCTGTTGTTCACAGAATTGCTGTGAATCATAGAGAGAGCTCTGTTGGCCTAGCTAAAAAGTTATACTACCAAGCTAAAGGTGAGTGATTTTAATTTTTGGCCCTCAGGCCTGTTTTTAATTGTTTTTGGTCAAACATTCTTCTAAGTGTCTATAGTGGTCTGTCCATTTGCTGTACAGGGGTAACTCATGGTTGTTGTGAAATTAAACACTGTGACACTGATGTGTTAAATGTGAGAATGGTTAGCCATTGTGGACAGTGTTTGGTGGAGCTCCCCAATTAAAACACGCTTGGAAGCAGGAGTGGCATCCCCTTCCAAAATAGAAACTATGGAAACTCTATGAACTTAGAGAAATGATGAAAGTTATACAAGTGTTCAGGTCTTTCATTCACAGGGTTGCTAGGAATCATCTACGACTTGATGACACTTAACAATAGCAACATACCAATGCCCTTATTAAAATAAAGTTAAAAAACTTTTTTTTTAGTGGGAGAAAAGACTTACAAAAGCAAAAGTGTCTAGCACCCACGTCATGTGACTCTGGGTGTCTTCTCCATCTAAATCCAAGGCTGTTACACAACCACATTTCAACCACTGATGGAACTAAGACTGGCAGAGTTAGCCTCAGGGCCTGGTTGAATGTGCCAACTTCTTGCCCACTAGTGTTTCTTAATGCAGCTCTAGGTGAGGAATGAGACATCCCAGAAAAATTCTGACTGGATTTGAGAAGCCATAGATTGTCTTTATAGGCATGTTTCCTGGAATGAGAAGAGGGTCCCCATAAACAGTTTAACAAGAGAGTCTAGTCTCATTAGAAGTTCACCCTGGCCTATGACTTTGTCTGCTTTGCTGCAATTGGTATGACTTATGTTGTGCACACCTATGGGCAGGCAGCCTGAACTGATACGAAACATTGCTCTGAAAGGAACTGTTTATAAAAGTTCCCAGCCAGATTTGAGGATGGAGAGACATTGTCTCACATACTTCAGCATGCTATCAGATAGGGTCAACCCCTGGGAAAAGACAACATGCTCAGTAAAGTAGAGGGTATGTGGAAAAAGAGGGAGACCCTCACAAAGATAAGTGGACACAATGGCTGCAGCTATAGACTCTGGTGAAGCAGCAATTGTGAGAATGGGACACTGTTTTGTTTTCTTGTCCTACAAATCACTGTGGGTTGGAGCCAAATCAACAGCACTCAAAAACAACAGCGTCACTTATTCTGAACTTTCAGTGAAAGTTGCTGTTGGCAGCTGCACCTCCAGGACTGGCCGCTGGATTATTCCAGTTGTAGCCAGCCAGGCAGACTGATGATAGCTCTGTTAGGTAAGAGTCTCAATCCCCAGGTAGAAACCTGGCAAGTGCGTTCTTGTTCTTTCTGTGCTCAGAAAAATAATAGACATCTCTAGGCCCCCGACTTTTCTCTACTTCCCAGTGGTGTAGTTGCAGCTTCTGCATTTAAAAGCCGAGGATTTCTTGATTTCCAAGGGCATGAAGAGACAGCCAATTAGAAATCAGAGACCCAGAAGAACGAACTGGGGAGGAGGGTAGAGGAAATAGTGCAACAATGAATGAATGAAAACCCAAAATCTCTGTAAATGTTCATTAAAATTAATAAAATTTAATAAAAAAAATTAAAACAAATCAGAGACCCTCCAGGCCGTGTGGGCTCCTCCTTTGCCAATGAACCTGCCCTAATTGGGTACAAGTATCCCTTGCATTTCTGAAAACCTGAAGTCACTCAAACATGTTTATGTCCTACGGCCATGCACAATCATTCCACGAGCCTTAAAAATACACAATAGATGTTTGTTGGTTTTGCCAAAGTCATCAGCCAGACTGATAGCCTGAGGTGGAAGGTGATGTGGTGGGGGAATTCCTTTAAACCAAACTAAGAGAAAACTTGCTGTAAGTGAGTTACCAAAGGGGAATGATGACTAGGTTGGTCTAGGCTCCTCTCGTGGCCTATGATGTTCCCTCAGGACTTCCTTTTTAAGCCTTTTAAGTGCTGGTAGTTTTTTTAAGGTGTGACTGACTTCGAGTTAGTGTTAGGGAGGAGAACGCTACATGCCCAATCCTGCCTCTTCTAGCAGTACTCACCATGCACTCATCTTCCCAAAGCTCTGTTTAACTGAAGTGCTATCAAACATTATAAGACATTAACTTCTTGAACATTCACTGGAAGTAGGGTGGGAAGGTCATTCAGTTCAATTCTAAACAAATGAATTTCTAATGGACTATTTCATAATTATTTCCTACTTAATGTTCTAAGATTTTAAAATAATCCATGTTGTTTTTTATGCAAAAAAACCCCACTTAAACACAAATTGAAATAATTTTATATGGCTTTCCCCCACTCCTACTTGCTTTAAATGGTGTTTCAACTATCTGTAACTGTTCAGATAAGAGGATGTGATTTTATAGACAAAAACCCAAGGACAAACTACCATTGTCCATATTAAACCTACACTTGATCTCTTGATTCTCAATACAAAGAAGAGAGTGAAAAGAGATTGTCTATTTTTTACTTTAAAAATAAACTTTCCTATACTTTGCTAGAGAGGAAGACCCTCAATGAGTTGAATTGACTCAGTGACTAGTGGAGGTAGGTGTGCCAGAGACGATGGGGTTAGCTCAGGATAGAGCAGGGTTCCAAGCTGTTGTACATAGGGTCGCTATGAGTTGCAAGCAACTCAAGGGCACATAACGACAATAACATACTTTGCTAGGACCTCTGATGGTTTAGTGGCAAGAAGCTGCACTGCAATCCTGAAGATATGCAGTTCAAATCCACCAACTGCTCCACGAGAGAAGGATGGGCAATCTCCTCTCATGTGATAAATTGTCCCTGAAAACCCACTGGAGGGTCAGCTATGGGTTAGTTCCAACTTGATGTTACACAACCACCACCACCACAATAATACTTTGCTAAGGAATCACAGATCTATTTTTATAGGTCTTATCACTCCAGGGTCTGTACATTCTTAAATTTAAAAACAAACCAATCATAACATTGCCAGAATGTGAGAAAACTGGCTATTGACTTGATAACTCTGAGTACCAGTTTGACAGCCAGCAAAACCAATCCTCTAGCTTGTCATCTCAAATATGTTATCCCTGGGACATTTGAATTATGGACTCTCTCACTTGCTACATTCATTGTTGTTGTTGGGTGGTGTGGAGTTGACTACATCTCATAAACAACTCTATGAACAACAGATCAAAACCTTGCACTGTCCTGTGCCGTCCTCACCAGCTCTGCCATGCTACATTTCACACTCTATATTTTCATTTCTGGTTGGAGCTCATCTGTCAATTTTGTGATTAAATGGCTTATTTGTAACTGTTTTGGTTAAGCCCTGCTGCTCCGTTAATGAGGAAGGGCAAATGAACCTAACTATGTGGACCTAGCCTTTTTTTTTTTGTCAAGCATAATCTATAAATGTGGTTGATTCTTGAGTGTGATGAGTTTCACGGATTAAAGGAGTCTCTATCCAAGTTTAAAGGCAGACTGTTTACTCTAATTGTCCTCTTGTAAACTCTTATCCTGGGGGCTGAGAGTACAGCAAGCCCCTGTGCATCTCCGAAGGCTGTCCATCAAAGAGTCTGGACATTTCTTTCAGTTCAGTTCTAAGCTGGATTCCACGCCCCCTTCTTCTTAGATTTGTGCTTTAAGAATGTACTTAATAAAAACATAATTTTACTTGTTTATAAAATGCTTCTTAAAATGGTAACTACTTTTTTATGGACATAAATCCAACAACATTATGACTGCTACTGAAATGTTTTATAAAAAGAATATATACCCTGGAGGGTTTGCCCATCACAGAGGTAGCAGTGAATGCAGTCCAGTTAGATACTTCAGCTGGTAATTCTCACCCCAAAAGGATTTCTTTTGACCCAGGATAGCCAGAGTGGACACAAAGGCAACATTTTTGTTCTCCTTTCAAGTTTGACTTCAGGAAATTTCTGGGCTAAGTATTCCAAAGTTTCAACTATATGGGGCAGTAATTTTAGAGTGTGGTAAAGAGCAGGGCTTGCCCAACTTAATCAGACAGACCTGACAACACAGAGGCTCCGCAGCTTCTCAGCTCAACTGATGCCTCAGGGGCAGCTTGGAAGAGCCTTGCCCCACCTGAGGACGCACTTGAACTTCACCTCTCATTTACGGTCCACTTTCAAGTGGGGAGAGGGAGATAGAGGAGAAAGGGAGAGAGACTGGCATTGAGAAAAAAAAGGAATCACAGAAGTTTTCTTATTTTTAATGAAATCACCTTAACATAATTCATTCAACAATTCCAATAATAACAATAAAATCTTGCCAGTATGTCTTATCTTAACTGGTCTCCTCTCTCCCTCCGATGGGTCTTTCTTTTTTATAAAACCTACCCTCAACGAATGTACAAACCAAAATAACCACTTAGGATCAATTAATCATGTCAGCCAGCCCTTTGAGACTAAAGAGCCCTATTTTCTCCAATAAACATTTTATGTGCTAAATGGCAAACCTTAAATCAAAGTCTAGGAGAAAGGGAGAAAGGTCAAATTCCTGGGCACATACCTTGCTGGAGGTTTTCAAAGAATGAGAAACAATCTTGGACAGATCCCTCCTTCTCTCGCTCTCTTCTTACTGTTTTCTTGCAGAGGTTTTCAGCTCACACTTTTTTTATCCAGACCCAGCCAAGGTGTGTTAAAGCTGAGTGATCTTTCAAAAATGTTCACTTCTTTTCGCTCCCTTGTTTCTTTCAGTTCTTTGCTTCCAAACAAGTCCTGACAAAGGTGTGTCGGTTTGCAGCGTTACTCCACCCTTCCAATTATCTGACACTTGCTGGATTGAAAAAAAAAAAAATCTGCCTCCAGGAACCAAACTTTACAGGAGACAGAATACTTCTCTTACCAGCTGAGGTAGATTAACCATTTACGGATCCATGCAGAAAAGGGAACAAAGGTTCAGCATCAAGCTCCAGTGTTTATTACTTCTTACCTTGTATAGCATATACACGCTGTTATGTGTCCTGCCCTATGTGTATACCCTGGGATACTCAAAGTGCCAGTGTCCATGATTTATGATGTATCTAGGCCCCGGTGAGACCTGTGAGCAAAGTTCCAGAGTCCTAGAAAAGCTGTGAAATTTGTAAATTAGCAGCACAACTTATATCCAAGATCTGCTTCCTTTATGTATTTCACTTCCATCTAAGGAGCCCTGGCACTCACTCTCAACAGCCCCTGAGTTGGTTCTGACACATAATGACCCTCCACTGGGTTTTTGAAGGCTATATATCCCAACAGGATGAGATGCAACTGGTGGATTCAGACCCCTAGAGGTACACATGCACGCTCTGGGTTATCAGAACAACCTGCTTCAGATGAAGCCGAGGAGACCAGTTGCTGTGGTGTGGTATATGATGGACTGCTAACCAAAAGATCGTGTTTCTAACCCACCAGGTACTCCAAGGGAGAAAAGGGTGGTCTCCCGTAAAGATTTGCAGCCTTGGAAAGGTGATGCAGGCTTGTCACAAGTCCATACTGATCAGATGGCACAAGTTTAGTTTTTTGGGTTTTAATTTTACCCCCATTCTGTCACGGCTATCTAGAAAGAATAGTGGATGAATTAGTTAATAATAAAATGATAATGATTGAACATGTTGAATGATCTATGGAATATGGGCTTAGTTTTTAAAAGAAGTTAACACTGTCCCATAGAGGAAGGTTGATTTACACAGGTGAAGGGTGAGGTTAAGGTTATTTAAAAAAAAAAAAAAGGTTATTTTAGAGTCCAGACAGAGGAAAGAATGATGGCTGAGATGGCTGTGAGGTGGAAGAAGTGTGGTGACTCTGAGGAACACTAAGAGAGAGCTCAGTTGGCCTAGTGGACAGAAAGTGATGCTACCAAGCCAAAAGTGGATGATTTTAATCTGCAGCCCTCAGGCCTGCTTTTAATTATTTTTAGTCAAACATTCTTCTAAATGGTATAGCACTGGTCTGTCCATTTGCTGTACAGAGGTAACTCGTGGTTGCTGTGATGCTAAACACTGTGACACTGATGTGTGAAATGCCATAATGGTTACCCATGGTGGACAATGTTTGGTGGAGCTCCCCAATTAAAACAAAATTGGAAGCAGGAGTGGCATCTGCTTCCAAAATAGCTTGCCTCTGTGAACTTGGAGAAATGATGAAAGTTCTACATGTGTTCAGGTCTTCCGTTCATACTCGACAACACTTACCAACAACCATGAGAAGACGGCTTTATATGCTGTGAGTAAGGAGAGAGTGGCAGTGAAAGCGAGGCTGGAGAGGTAGGTAGGGGTTAGCTTGTGAGAAGCCTCACAGGCCATCATGGGCAAGTGTTGCCTGATGCTTGGTATATGTTCTTTTTTTTTTTAATTTTTTTTTTTTTTGTATATGTTCTTGAACTGACAGTTGGGAGCAACTCAAGAGGCACAGTATGAATATTTGGATTATTGATCCTTAGACAAAGGAGGTTAAGGTATAATATGTCCCAGAATTTCCACACACATGACCTCATTTAATCCACATAGTAACTGAGGTATAAAATCAACCCACCCGTTGCCACCCAGTCGGTTCCAACTCATGACAACCTGCGTTTCCAAAAAGACTTCACCTCATGACAAATTGGGTATCCAAAGAGATTGACCTAGCTGTCTCCTGCACAGTGACTGGTGGATTCCAACTGCTGAACTTCCAGATTGTTGTTGTTGTTGTTGTTATGTTCCGTCGAGTCGTTTGAGACTCATAGCGACCCTATGTACAACAGCCCTAAACCCTGCTCTATCCTGTGCCAACCGCATTGCCTCTGACACACCCATCCCGATTACCCCAGTCACTGAATCAATCCACCTCATAGAGGGTCTTCCCCTCCTGTGCTGTCCCTCTACTCTACCCAATATGATGTCCCTCTCCAAAGACCTGTCTCTCCTTGCAACATGTCCAAAGTATGTCAGACGAAGCCCCAGAATCCTTGCCTCCAAGGAGCAGCCTGGTTTAACCCTCTCTAGGATGAATCTGTTTGTTTTCTTGGCAGTCCATGGTACATTCAATACTCTTCTCCAGCACCACAGCTGAAAGGCGTCAATTCTCCTTCTGCCCTCCCTAGTCATTGTCCAGCTCTCTGATGCATAACAAGTGATTGCAAAGACCATGGCCTGTATCAGGTGCACCTTCGTCTCCAAAGAGACACCGTTGCTCTTGAGTACTTTAGAACTTCCAGATAGCAGTCCAATATATAACAGACCATACTACCAGAGCTACTTCTAAGAGAGATGTGTTACCATATATATGACTATCTACTTTTACTTACAGCTGAGGAAAGTTAAGTTCAGAAGGTTGAGAACCAGGCCAGTTTTCTGTCTAGTAAGTGGCAGAGCCTATGCTCCACTTGACTCTTAAGCCTTTGTTTCAGCTTCCTTATGCAATAGTAACATTTAATCTAGTAGCCTAGTGGGTAGAGAATTGTGCTATGAACCCAGAACTGGGTAGTTCAAATTCAGCAGCTGCTCCACAAGAGATGGATGGGCAATCTTCTCTTGTGCCATTTAATGCTTCTGAAAACTTGCTGGAGGGTCCACTATGCTTTGATTGGTACTTGACAGCAGTGGATTAGTTATAGTTTGAGCTAAGCCCAAATATGTCGGGCTGAGGGCAAATAAAAATGTAACTAAGAACTGAAACCAATTGAATAGTGGGAATGCTTTCAGATAGCAGCACAGTGGTGTTGATGTAATTTGTTGATTACTTTAAAAATCTTTCCACTAAGATTCAGAAACCGTAGATCAACCAGTTATTTAACTACTATATAAAACCAAAATCAATGCTCAGCAACATTTACTTAGAATAAGCATGGATGGTTTTCCCTTCCTCTTGGATTTCATATTGGTGTTCTCTAAGCACAATGGGAATATCCATTGGCAGCTAAACCCCAATATTAACTAAATTTGAACTCTCCAAGACAACTCAATAGCTAGTAACTTACGTGTGTACATATACACACAGTGTACGTGTGCACATGTACTTTGCATGGTGACACATGTACATGTGAATACTGTTTACAGAATCATGTGTTAGGCACTTTAAGGAGAGAAAAAAAATTGAATTCAAGAACTTACATTCTAGTTACTTGGTGTTTATTTGGCCTGACAAAACCCTAAATAATAAGACTTGATATGGGAAATGAAATGAAAGAAATTTTATATTCACTCAATATTCAAGTATTAAATTTCTACTCCATACTTGAGTCTAAGGAAATTGTCTCTTAAGCATTTTAAATAAGCAAGAAAGCAGCCAAAATCAAGGCACTCAGAGTCAGATTTTGAAGATAGCAGTGACTAAGATACCGGAAATATGTTTATTTCCTGCATGAACAGAGCTGTGTTAATGAGTCACATTAATCAAATTTGTATTTTGTAGACATAAAATTATTAACCAGAAATATAGTCATCTTTCCAAAACTCTATATTGACTTTTAAGTAGCTTAGGCTGGAAGGATGTCTGTTCACATGAAGCCCAGATTGGTGCCAAATGACCAAATACTCTGTCTGTAGACTCTAGAACAATTCTGTTCTCTCCATTCATCTGTGCAAAGTCAACCTTCATCTATGGGATAAGATTTCTACATCTTGTTACTTCTTTTCAAAATGAGATCCTTAGTGCATCAATTGTTCAAGATTTTCACTCATTAATGCTTTATCATTAACTAATCCATCAACTGTTTTCCCCGGATGGTCTTGATCTATTAGAGAGTAAAATGGGAGAAGAGTGTGTATCAAGGTGTTTTCCTAAATTCATTGTTGGAATGCTACCTAAAAGATCAATAGCTGGAATCCACCGGC